ACGCGATACAAATTGCTGTTATGATGTGTCATCGAAAAAAAAAATATATATATATATATATATGTATGTATGTATGTATGTATGTATGTATGTATGTATGTATGTATGTATGTATTTATTTAATCGAGATAGATACATGACGATTGATCGTATATACTTTACGTACGTTGTTCGAATATTTTCATGAATTATTATACGTATTTACTTAGATAGAAACATGCACATATACATACGCATACGTATGCACATGCACATGCACATATATATAGATCTTATTGAGTAAGGTTAAGATAAAGATGAATAATTTTGGCGAGGTTATAGATTGAATGTAGAAAATCGTATGGTTATATATCCTCAATAATTTTTGACAGATTTATTTGTTAGTAGTAATGGGTATTTATGGTATTATAAGACAGCCTCTTTAAACTATATACATATATATATATATATATATATATATATATATATATATATATATATATATACCGATCAAAGATTCATTATCCAATCGGTATTATACATACATAGAAGACTAAGATCTACCGGCTTTAAAGGTTTATAACGATGAATACGATTCATAAACATTTATAGCACTGTGACCCACTTTGCAAATGTTACGTACATCGTCAAGTCGTGTTAACCATTATCTCGTGCTCCCTCATATAATCGTTTATACGTATGTGTATATATATATATATATATATATATATATATAAAATGTGTGTGTGTGTGTGTGTGGAATGTGAGAAAGAGATAAAGAAAAAGAAAAAAAGTAAAATCTTATAACATAATTATTATTTTCTTTTTTCTTTTCTTCTCTTTCTTCGTTATTATATCTTATTTGAATTAATATATAATATTATTTTTGAAATTTATTTATTTACTTTTTTTTTCTTTTTTCTTTTTCTATTTTTCTTCTTTTTTTTTTCTTTTTTCTTTTTTTATTTTTTTTTCTTTTCCTAATACGCAAATAATTCATATTTTCTTCGTGATATAATGTGTCGATACGATATTGGAGTCTTTTATACGGTATATTTATATTTGTGTGTATATGGTAGTATAACAACGAACGAGTACAATGACAAAAAATAGAAAGAAAGAAAGAAAGAGGGGAAAAAAAGAGAGAAAATAAAGAAAGACATCAAAAAATGAACGCGTGCAGTTCGATGAAACAAAAATAGGTTGTTTCATTGGTGTCGTTCGAATGGCATATATTGTGAAAAAAAGTATTAGATAGATACATATGTGTATATGTACCCACACACACATATACATGTATATATATATATTTATATAAATATATATATGTATATATAGCTACTTCGCGCTATGAAAAAGAATATACAATTTGATAGGAAATATTTGCTTTACGAAAAAAAGTGCGATCGGTGGTTTCGATGGCATATTATGTATTTTTACTTTCTTTCTTTTTCTATTTCTTTTTTTTCTTTTTTTTGTTTTTATTTTCCTTTTTCCTCCCTTCTTCCCCTTTCTCTCTTCGTACCGTTCGTATTATTTTTATTCTCGCCCCGTGTATCCTTGTGTGTTCCTTGCCAAAAAAAAAAAAAAAAATAAAAAAAAAAATGAAAGAAACGAAAAATGGAAAAAAAAAGAAAGAAAAACTATGGAAAATCCTGAATTCAAAAGTCAAACGCGACACGTTGCTTATCGGGATATTGAAAAATAAATTGGACACTCATGCGATATCGTCGTTGATATACTTATTTGTCTGTGTGTGTGTATATATATATATATATATATATATATATATATATATATATATATATATATACATTTACACAACACTATATATATATATATATACACATGTATATATACAAGTATTTTTATGTTCATACATATTTATACTTATTTATACGTATTTTATCCGAATAGATAGAGAAACGAATTTTGTATTCCGTGATTTTCGGTGAAACGGAATAGATTTTGGCCAACTCGCATAAAACGTTTTGTGCCAGTTTTGTGTCTGTTACCGTTTTGTGTTCATTCGTTCGTGCTTTCACGTTCGTTCGAGGGAAAACGTTGCTCATAGGAACGATAAATATATCCATCTAGTTCGCGCACGTGCCTGAGTGGGTGGGTGGTGGTGGTGGTGGTGGTGGTGGTGGTGGTGGTTTAGTGGTGAAAGTGTTAGTAGTAGTGATAGTAGTAACGATACTAGTGGTAGTAGTGGTTGTTGATAATAGTGGTGATGGTAGTGGTAGTGGTAGTGGTGGTGGTGGTGGTGGTGGTGGTGCTGGTAATAGTGGGATATTGTCAGTAGTGGTGGTTGAGCAAGCTGGAAAACATCTTGACTTTTCGTCTTTCGTGGGCGAATTTCATTCTAATGCGTTCAATCTTTCTCTCTCTCTCTCTCTCTCTTTCACTCTTCGTAGAAATCACTTTAATCTGATTACGTTAGCGTGTATTTTCTCCTTCTCTCCTCTCCCAAACTCTCCATCCACCTACTCACCCCCTTCATCCACCCGCCTACCTTTTCTTAATCTTAACACATGCATCCGTTTATATAGTTAGTACACGTTATCGTTCATTTCGTATTACACGATCTTGATTATAATTTCTTAAATAACTGATTCGTTACGTATGTATGCACGATATGTATATATATATATATATATATATATATATATATATATATATATATATATATACGTTTTCTTTCTTTCTTCTTTTTTTTGATTATAAAATAATACATGGAAATTTCTAAGGGATATTTTTTCTTCTTAAGATGCATACGTTTATAGTACTTGTTTATTTATCGTTCGTTCGCGTATTATATGTTTGTATTGTAATTTCTTTAAACATTGATTATATAATTTCTTTTTTCTCTTTTTTCTTTTCCTTCTTTTTTTTTTTGATTATATTATAAGATAGATTATATTAAAAAATTTGAATGTGTGTGTGTGTGTGTGTGTGTGTATATATATATTTGTTTGTAGTTTATTTTAACGTTTGCATTTGCCAAATGTTTTTTTTTTTTGTTTTTTTTTTCTTCTTTCTTCTTCTTTGTTACTATTATTATTATTATTATTATTATTATTTACAATGATAAAAAATATGTTGAAATGATTGTATGAATCGTCGTATAATTATTTATTGTATTACTCGTCAGACACTTTATTGTACGTGTGTATATTTAATATTAATAATAATTATATATAATATAAAATATACATGGATAAATGATTTTATATTAATTTTATACAATACTTTTTTTTCTTTTTCTTTTTCTATTTTTAAGAGACCATTAACAGATATTAATTAGAACGGTGGGGAAAGGAATTTGAGAAGTTTTGAAACATAACAGAAAAAAAGAAAGAAAGAAAGAAAGAAAGAAAATGAAAAAAAAAATGTAGAAAAAAGAAAGAAATAAGTCATAGACAGAGAGAGAAAGAGAGAAGGGGGGGGGGAGAAAGAGAAAGAGAGAGGGAAGAAAATAAGACGAAATTATTTGAATTTTGCAGAGGATGCCTGACGGAGTCGGCGTCGGAGTTGGATCTCGCGTGGTCTGGTTACGTGGAAACGGTCGAGAGGCTCGTCGTAGCGGTCGACGGTCGTAACGATCCTTTGGGTCTGAATGCCGAGAGGGCCGTCAGACAATTGGACACCCGCATTTCGGACGCCATTATGCACGCGATGGGGAACAGCCGGGCTCTCGAGGAGAAGGTGAGTCTTTTGCCGAAAGCATTCCGATATACATACGTATCGCAACAGAGAGAAAGAGAGAAAGAGAAAGAGATAGTCATTCTATCTCCGTCGAGATAGAAGAGAGAGAGAGAGAAAGAGAGAAACGGAGATAGAATGACTATCTCTCTCTCTCTCTCTCTTTCTCTTTTTCTCTCTGTCTTTCGTAGCGCATACATTATTTATATCTATTTTATGCGTTCGCATAATGCATCGGACAAACGCTTTTCTCTCTCGATTCAAATATTTAGTTATACTTAATCGCATATATATATTTAATTAATTTATTGCATGAATGAGAAAAAGAAAAATTAAAAAAAAAAAAGAGAGAAAAAAAAGGAAAAGAAGAAAATAAAAGATAAAGGAAAAAGGAAAATATCGTCGTGAGAATAATTTTGAATGATTATCTCGAATTGTGATCGAGCAACTTTTACGGACAATTATTTTTTTCTTCCTTTTCTTTCGAAGGTACAAGGGTCGAAAAAGAAAATAACATTGCAATTTCGTTCCATAATGTCTTACCAATATTTAGTATATAATATATACGATAGTATGTATACATATATATATTTACGATATAAACGAACGTTTCTTCTCTTTTTAAAATGATGATTAAATACACGATACTTAATATTTTATGTATATATATATATATATATATTCTCTCTTTACATATATATATATATATATTTATATATATATATATATATATATGTATGTCGTTTATTTTATCGTTAATTAATTGCTAATTTTAATCGATTAAGAAAAGGAATAAAATGAAATGGAAAGAGAGAATGAAAAAAAAAAAAGAAAAAAATAAAAATATCGTCGATATGAGAATATCTTTAATTCCACGAGTTTATCGTTAAGTTTTTTTCTTTTTCTTTTCTTTTTTGTTTTTTTTTGTTTTTTTGTTTTTTTGTTTTTTTGTTTTTTTTTTTTAACTTGAGAACGTGTACAAGAGTCGAAAAGAAGGATCGCTGATTATTGATCTATAATAATTTTCATGTACATTATACAGGATCGATCGTATATAATTTTGATTTTTATAAAAGTATTGTTTGTTCTACAAACATTTGTTGTTATATTAAAATTCGTGTTTATCCTACATGCGTATATGTATTTAATTATATTTCGTATATATTTTTATATTACGAAATGCAGATAGGTAAACAATTTGACGGATACTGTTATTCTAATAAAATAAATATTATTATTATTATTATTATTATTATTATTATTATAATTATTATATAATAACAATAATAATATTTATTAAACATTTTATAAAAGAA